TATCTTTGAAAACTTTGAAGATTGGGCTCCAAGCTCTCCTAGCCTGAAGTGTTTCTGTAGATAAGTCTGCTGCTATTCTAATTAGTCTTCCCTAAAGGTGGTCTGGCCTTTTTCTCATGCTGCCTTTAGGATTTTTTCTTTCATACCTACTATGTGTCTAGAAGTTGGTCTTCTCATTTGTTGTCTCACAGGGGTTCTCTGAATCTCTTGTGTTTGAATGATCACATCACTGATGAAATGAGGAAAGTTTTCTTGGATAATTTCAAGTTTGTTCGTTCCAGGGTGGTCTCTATCTCTCTATCTGCCTCAGGAGTTCCCAGTAATCTTAGGTTTAGTCTCTTGAAGTAATCATTTATCTCTCAAAGGTTTTGTTCTGTCTTTTAAAGCTTTTTTTCTATGTTTTTAACAGTTTGGGTTAGTTCCATATTTTGGTCCTCAGGCTCTGAGATTCTTTCTTCTGCTTGGCTAAGTCTGCTTTCCATGCCTAACAGTTTGTTACTTATTTCATTCACTTTAGTCTTTATTGCTGTTATCTCAGTTATCAACTCTTTCATTCTTTCCTCTTGTCTCTCCTCAACTCTATTTATTCTCTCTATGAATGTCTTGATATCTGGGTTTGTGGTTTGAGACCAGTCATTCTGGGAGCTCTTCATTGTTTGTGTTCTGAAGTTTGTATCCTCCCAGAGGTCTGTGTGAGCCCCATATTCTTCTTTTGATTTTTCTTCATGTAGATTTTCCTCCCCCCTCCTTTTTTTTTTGAGTTGGAGTCTCACTCTGTCGCCCAGACTAGAGTGCAGTGGCCACTCCCGGCCACCGCATCCTCGACCTGCTGGGCTCTGGTGATCCTTCTACCTCAGCCTTCCGAATAGCTGGAATTACAGGCATGCGCTATCACGCCCAGCTGATTTTTTGATTTATTGTAGAGATGAGGGCTCCCCAAGTTGTCCAGGCAGGTCTCGAACCCATGGGCTCAGGCAATCCACTCACCTCAGTCTCCCAAAGTGTGGGATTACAGGCTGAGCCACTGAGCCTGGCTCCCCGCCTCTTTTTAACCTCGTCTTTAATTCTGTTGTTCAGGGATGGGGAGTGGTAGCTTTTACTTCTGTTTGCTCAATCTCCTATTCTTCCTTATGTGGATCCTCTGAGTTTGTTCAATTCTTAAGCAGGAATGTGGGTGGGGGGCTGTACTTTTTGCAGTTTTGAGATTTAATTGAGGGAGGAGTTGTGATTCAGAAACTATCTGCAGATCCCAGTATCCATTAACAGGTGTGGACCCCCTGGGACCCACTTCCCACTGCCTTACAATCTGTCTTTGCAGTGGGAGTATAGATTGCCCCTGAAAGCAAAATGAGGAAAGAAAAAGGAAAAGAATGGAAAAGAGAAGGAGGGGACGAGAGGAAAGTGGAGGGAGAGAAGAAGAAGAGGGAAAACAGACAGGCGTACCAACTAACAAATGAAAGAGGCAAAAACAAGGACAGAAAGGATTTTTCAAAATGTGGGCCATCATACAAACACACAAACTGACAGAAACTCCCCTATTGAAATAAAAGACACCCGTACACCAATAGGAAGTCTAAAAAAAAACAATAACAGAAACAAAGCAAGTGCAGAAACATAATAAAAAATGGAAAGAGAGAAGAGGAAAAGAAGAAAACCCCCAAATCCCTGAAAAACCCCCAAAAGCCAAGCAGAACAAACAAGCAAACAAAAACAAAAACACACAAAAAACAAAACTCGCTCTGAGGCAGTTCCTGTGTCTTCACCTTCCTTTCAGTTCTGGTCTCCAGCCCTTCCTCTCTGCTCTTAATGCAGGTTGATTGGGTTGCTCTCAGCGTGGGTCAGAAAATCAGCTTCCCCTCAAAGACTTGAAAATGTCTGTCTGGCTTGTGTTTCCCTTCCAGGAAGGAGTTCCTGAGGCAGAGGTGGGCGGCTGTGACCCTCCAGGCCGCGTGGAGAGGCTATGGCACCAGGAAGAATCTCAAGCTGGTGAGAGAGCTCGCTGGGGAGCCTGTGCTGGAGGGGCCAGAGGATGACTGCCCGATGAAAGACATGCTTTATTATTAGTAGTATTTTATTTTAAGGCTGTGGGGTACAGTTCAAGGTGAAGGATTGTTTCTCTGAACGAGATACCTCAGGCAGCAAGGACCAAATCGCTCAGACGTGGTGCACAGACTCACGATGGTCAACCTCGACACCCCACACGCTCTCTTCTGAGCACTGTCTCCAGCCCCGGGGTTGGTGGGCTTTAGAATGCTCCCCTGCAGAATCTTGGGCTCTCCAGAGCTGGAGTGCGGAGTCCTCTAGGTAAATGAGACCATGCCCGTCTTCTCCCAACTTGCAGGCAGCGAAGCAAGATGGATGGATTCCTCTCTGTTTCAAGTTCTCTTTCCTAATTGTTTTCTTAACCACAGGAACTTGCTAATGAGCATCAGTCCAACAAATGAACCAGAGCCGCTGTGGTCTTGCCCTTTTCACTTGGCTGCTTGTCTTTGTCGTGGACATGAGTGTGGTTGAGATGTGAAATGGTCACATCAGCCAGACTGGCTAGACCCACCTGCATGTCATACTCATGAGGGCCTAACAGTAGCTGAAGTGTGTGAAAAGTTCCTTGGAGCTTGGTGCTTGACGGCATCAGTTCTTCATATCAAACCAACCCTCTCAGTCAAGGAATGGAGGCACAGAGGGGTTAGGTAGTCTCTCCAGCAGCACGCAGTTAGTAAGCCACTGGGCTGGGTTTTGGATGCAAGGCTATGTGACTTCTAAGACCTCAAGCCCATCATTGGCTGGTCTCCGTGAAGCCAACAAGGCTGTCCCAAGGGCTCAGGGACTGCTGTGCCCCGGGGATGTTTGCAGCCTGGAAGTGGATGTTCCTCCATTTCTTATTTCCTTTTTTTCCTTAAATGCCCCAGGTGTCTCCACATAGGTGTGCTAGCCCTGACAAGCTGGCTGGCCTTGGCTGGCAGGTGTGAAAAGCAAGGCCTCTACCCATGACCCCAGGATAGATATTATTTTTGCCACTTCACAAATGCTTATTTAGCACTTATTTGCACATCAGACTCTTTTCTGTCCTTTACAAGCAATACCTCACGTAATATGCTCCATGTGTGCGGTTCTGACACCAGCCCCTTGCTAAGATGAAGCTGACTGTAGGTCTACATTGAGAGGTCCCCTGGGGGGCACCACTCTATGTTCCCTTCTCGCCCATGGCCTGCCTCCCTCTTGCCTCCACAGATCCTCCTAGGCTTTGAGCGCCTGCAAGCTATTGTCCGGAGCCAGGTGCTGGCGAGGCAGTACCAGGTCATGCGGCAGAAGGTGGTCCAGCTGCAGGCCCGCTGCAGGGGCCACCTGGTGCGCCAGCAAGTCCAGGCCAAGAGGAGGGCAGTGGTGGTCATTCAGGCCCATGCCAGGGGCATGGCTGCCCGGCGCAGCTTCCAGCGGCAGAAAGCCAATGTAGGTGAACTCCCGGGCTCTTGGGAGCGTAAGGCTGGCTGGGGTCCAAGTGGGCAAGGAGGAGTAGGAGACCATCAGGAGTGCTCACCAGACGTGCTCTGGAAAGCCCCCTACTCAGGCCAAGAGGTTAAAATCTGGTCAATCACTCAAGAACACAGCAAGGGTCCAGGAGGCAAATTAGGATGCACCTCTTGGGCAAAAATGTCGATAGCACAAGAAACTCCCCTTTCCCATGCCCGTCCAAGGTCAGCACTGTAGCAGCCCCTCACACCACCTGGGAGCCTTGGCCGCCATTTAGGGGCTCGCAAGCTGCAGCATGGGAGAGGCATCGGGTTGGCAGGACAGCCTGGTCTCTGGAACCTGGAAGTTGAGCTCCACGGTCCCTCCCTTTCTCCTTGGAGATGATTTACTGGCAAAGAGACCCATTCCCTCAGGTCAGATGGGCCATGAGAGGCCACTGTCCCATGGTGGAGAGCAAAGGCCCTGGTTACAGGGCTGTGCATGACAACTTGGGACAGAGGAAGAACACGAGAAGCTGCCGAGTGTCTGGGAGGCTTGAAGCCGGGAGCAAGGGACAGCACCCAGGAAATAACCTCACTGCCTCTCTTGACAGCCAAGACTGGACCTCATTCTTTCCCTCTTGCCTCATTTGGAAGGGATGCCGAGGCAGGAGGACTAGGGTGACGTTTCCGTCTGCTCCATGAATAAAAATGAGGTCTGCTGAGCAGACTACCAGCCCAATGGACAGGAAAAGTGAGACAACAGACCCTCACACCCACAGCATGCTTCTGCACCCAGGTGTCCCAAGCCTGGCTGCAGAGCAGTCTGGTCATATGTTAATCAATACCCTTTGGATGAAGGGACGGGGGACCTGAGCGGTGGTTGTGCAGCTGGGTCCTGGGATTCCCTGGAGTTGGAGGTGGTGTTTCAGGGAACACATAGGCTAGGGACAAGCCAGCAACCTCATCTCGCTGAAGCTTTGATTATCAAGGGGGAAATGGAAAACCCTAGCTGGGTGCTCTCCAGACACTGTAGCTTTGAAAAACAATCATTTTGGTGCAAGCCTGGGCAAATGATGGCCAGGTGAGGTTTACTTGGCTTCTGGGGGATGCTTGCCCTGTGAGACATTTAGGACTGGGCCCATGATAACCTTCCCCATGGGGTGTGCAGGCACTGCTGGTCATCCCCACCAAGGAGCAGAAGAACCAAAGCCCTCTCCCTGCCCAGAAGCGCAAGTCTATCTATGACACCGTGACCGACACAGAGATGGTGGAGAAAGTGTTTGGCTTCCTCCCTGCCATGATTGGGGGACAGGAGGGCCAGGCCCCACCAGGCTTTGAGGTAAGACAAGCCTGCAGTTCCTGGTCCGGCCCTGGATGGGGAAGGAAAGGCCTGCCCAGTCCCACACCTCCTTCACCCTCTTGGCTCTTTGAGAAGCCAGAGCAGGCCGCCAAATATGCTGCCACCTGGACTGTCATGTGTGCATTTCTGCAGTCAGGCCCTTTTGAGTCCAGCAGGCTTTCCACCTGCAAGACCTCCTGGGGTCTTTACCCTACAAATGCTACCTGGTTTTCCATCAGGCGGCATTCCCCATACACGCCTGACCCACCCAGCCCTCCCCTAGAGCACCTTGGAGGCTGTGACTCTGTGCCCTGTGATGGAAAGCTGAAGTGGAGGACTTTGAGCACCGCAGGAGAATGTGGTGTCTGGGGGTGGAGGTTGAGAGGGGACAGGGCAGGAGGGGCACCACCCTGGGCTGTCCTCTGTGGCCAGTTCTCCGTGGGCCCCACCACACCCCTCCGTGGGCCCCAGGCCCGGTGACCCGGGCACCCTCACCATCTCGGTGCTCATGGCCTGGCCCTCTCCTGCCTCCTCACTCTGTGTGGTGTGGGGCTGAGACCCCCTACTCGGGAGGAGTACGGCCCCCACCCTGCAGGGAGCGGGAGGAGGGTGTGTGGGGAGTGTGGAGAGCCCTGTCGGCAGGGCAGCGTGCTCAAGGTCTTGCTGCCAGAGAGCTGGCACATGGCAGCCCACCCAGGCCCCCTGAGGGTGGGGCTGAGGGCAGGCTCCAGCCCCAGGGGAAGTGGGCAGTTGCCTCTGCACTGGGAGGATACCCAGGTAGAGCCTTCTCAGGTTCCACGGCCCCCGCGGTGCTTGGCTGCTGGGCAGCTAGCTGGCTGTTATCCGAAAGGACGCTGACCCGGTTCTCCCTCGCTGGCCCCCAGGATCTGGAAGCAAAGACCCAGAATCTTCTCGAGGTCGACCTGGACACGGTCCCCATGGTGGAGCAGCCAGAGCAGGATGTGGACGGCCTGGCCGAGTACACCTTCCCCAAGTTCGCTGCGACTTACTTCCAGAAATCGGCCAGCCACACACACATCCGGCAGCCCCTCCGACACCCGCTGCTCTACCATGAGGATGACGCTGACTGCTTGGTAACCAGTGATTCTCTGGCTTCTGGTGGCTCAGGCCACCCCGAGAGGCCGAGTCCAGGCTGCAACCCAGAGGGAATGAGGAAGAGGCTGGTGTCATGTCAGCTCTGGTGTGGGGAGCCGGTGCTAGCGGGGGCCCTCTGTCTTGTTTCGCAGGCCGCCCTGGCCATATGGAACATCATCCTGCGGTTCATGGGTGACCTCTCAGAGCCAGTGCTTTATGCCAGGAGCCGGCAAGGCAGCTCGGTGGTGTGGCAGGTCCAAGACACGCTGGGCAGAGGGGGCGGCGTCCAGTTTCCACAGCAAGGTGGATCTGCACAGGCAAGTGATGTGAGGGCACTGGAAAGGGGAAGGCGGACGCCCTCCAGGTGCTCACCAGGGCCAGGCCGTGGGGAGCTGGCAGGAAGGGGAGATAAGGCCTGGAGCCCTCTCATGGCATCCCCCACTGAGCCCAGACACCAAGCCTGGGCACCCAAGGGCTTTCAGTTTTTCTTTTTTTTGAGTTGGAGTCTCACTCTGTCACCCAGACTGGAGTGCAGTGGCCGCTCCCGGCCACCGCAGCCTCGACCTGCCGGACTCCGGCAATCCTTCTGCCTCAGCCTTCCGAGTAGCCAGAATTACAGGCATGTGCTACCACGCCCGGCTGATTTTTGATTTATCGTAGAGATGAGGTCTTGCTGCCCAGGCGGGGGTCTTGAACCCGCGGGCTCAAGCAATCCACTCACTTCAGCCTCCCAAAGGCACGGGATTACAGGCTGAGCCACCGACCCTGGCTGGGCTTTCAGTTTTAAATCACACCTGAGAACTCATGGGTTGCGGATTGGTCCAGGACTTTCTGAATTATGCCATCGTTAATGAAGACAGTGCCCTGGACTTTGATTTTCGGGTTTGACTCTTGCCGGATTAAGATGCATATCACAATAGCAGTAACAACAAATGCTCCTGTCGACTGACAGCCTGCCTTGTGCAAGCAGCATCTCTCCATTTAATTCCCAGGTGGGCCAACCCCACAAGGAAGGTTTTATCATGTTTATTTATTTTTATTTTTATTTTTATCTCTCGCTGCCCAGGTGGGTCTCGAACCCGCGGGCTCAGGCAATCCACTCACCTCAGCCTCCCAAAGGCGCAGGATTACAGGCTGAGCCACCGAGCCCGGTTTATCATGTTTATTTACAGTCAAAGAAATGGCGAAGTGAAGTGCCTCGCCCCGAAATTGCAGTGGACAGCTGTGTGGGACCCGGGCTTTGAGTTTGTTCTGCTGAATTCAGAGTCCAAGGTGTGGGCCGTGTTCTACCTTGCCAGGGTGGAAAGTTAATTCGCATCCATTTTTAGTAAGCATTCTTCAAAGGGCCCAGCTTCTTGCTGCAATCTTAGTGGCACTACCCAGAGCAGTCCAAAAGAACTGAGCAGCATTGACAGCACTGGTGCACCCGCAGCGGGAGGCCAGGCCTGCCCACACGCCAGGTGATGACTGGGACTCTACTCAGAGACCTGTGAGGTCTGGTGTGCAAACTAACGGCACAGAGCTCTAAAGGAGTCTGCAGCCCTGATCACGTGGCCAACCGAGCCCAGGAATCACGTGAAACTTGCCTGGGTCTGAGTCCTGTCTCCTTGATCTCAGGAGGCTTCCGCAGTGTATTAGATATTTATTGCTGCATAACAAATTACCCCAAAACTTGGCAGCTGAAATAGCACACATTCATCATACCACACGATTTCTGAGGGTCGGGAGCAGCTTAGCTGTCCCTGTCATTCAGGGTTTCTCATGAAGTTGCTGTCGAGTATCAGCTGATGCTGGAGGATCCGCTGGCAAGATGGCTCACCCCCACGGCTTTGGGAGGAGGCTTCAGTTCCTTCATGTGGCCTCTCCTCAGTGCTGCCCGAGCATTCCCACAACACGGCTTCCCCAGAGTGCGTGATTCAAGAAGGAAGCAAGAATGAAGACAGACTGTCTAGTCTTGGAAGTCACTCACCTCTGTGGGAAGGGGCTGCACAGATCAGGAGGGACAGGAGGCGGAATCACTGGCGGCCACCTGGGAGGCTGGTGGCAATGCAGGGAAGGGACTCGAGAATGCAGTCCAGCCACCCCACTCCTCTGGAGGGTGGACATGGGGGACAGCAGAACTGGCTTTCCAGGGGTCAGGGCTTCGATCTTCCCTCCTGTATATGTTTGTCCCATGCACAGAGCACTGGGCCAGGCAAGCCCCACTGCCCTCATGGAGTTTGCCATCTAATGTGTTTCACGGTTTGCCCCTGCGTAGCAAACCAGCTCTACCCCAATGAGAAGCTGGTGCCCAGCCCTTGACTGGCTGATCCCAGCCCAAGCCCAGACCCGCTTTGAGCTCTAGTTTTGGCAGCAGATTCCTCTCATGCCGCCATCATGACAAGACGTGGGCCCTGCCTGAGGAGACCAACAGATCCCAGTAGCTGGGGCAAGCCCCTCCCTGCATGGTCCGGGTTTCGACGCCCGGGTGCTTCTGACCCCCTTCTTTCCACCAGCAGTGGGCAGAGCATCCTCTGATTCATTCACCCATTTCTACTGAGAATGACCATAGCTTGGGGCTGTCCTAAGCACCTGGGCACAGACCCAGTCCTTAGGGCTTTCAGGGGAGCTGCACAAGCTTTGGAGTTGGAATGATCCTGAGCTCTTCCCAGAGGGCCGGTGTCCCTTGCTTTCCATAAGCCTGTTCCTTCACCTGGAAGTGAGGATGATGATGTGCACCTCCGAGTGTCATGAAGGTCCGCCACGATGGGGGACTACTAGGTGCTTTGTAAATTGGGCCCAAACGTGGCTGGACACTGTCTTCAGGGGCGTCATCATCCTTGAGGTGCGCTCAGACTCACCTTCCCGTGGGCACTGTGTCCTCCCACAGAGAGCCGGCCACAGGGACAAGGGAACCAAAGGTGTCTCCTCTGTGAAGCTGAAGCGGTCTTCCCGGATCACGGGCCAGGTGAGCCCGGGGCACTAGACCTCAGTTCACGCCCAGCTCTGCCGTAGACCTTCAGGCTGCTACTTCCTCCCTGTGAGCCAGTTTCATCCTCGGCAAATGGGGAAAATCACAGCTGCCCTTGCAACTGTCTTTGGGTTTCAAGGTAACCAGCCAACTGAACAGTGGAGAGGAGGCATTTGAACCCGATGGTCCCATCTCAGACCGACCCATGTCCAACCTGGAGAAGGTACACTTCATCGTGGGCTATGCCATCCTGCGGTCTGGCCTCAGGTTAGTGCCCTCTCCAGGCCCAACTCCATTCACCATGTGAGCGGTCCTCACTGGCTCTCAGCCCGTGGCCACACCCTCTTCCCTTGCCACGAGATCCCCTTCCCTGTCCTGGGCCTGCAGGCCGGGTCTCAGGACAGCAGATGTTATATATATTAGAGCCAACAAGGACTCTCTACTTTCTCTGCATTAAGAAAACCCATGACTAAAACCCAGTTTTAGGAAAGTCTTCATCGTGGGCTGGTGATTCATTTTAGGACAGGCTTTAGTGCAGGGTCCTATCATGAGCAATTTCTTCATTTATGCTATTATTATTATCGTTTGCTTTATATGTAATTTGCCTTACAGGAATTGGGTTTACATAGTAATTAGAAAAATATGTAGCCGGGCTCGGTGGCTCAGCCTGTAATCCCACGCCTTTGGGAGGCTGAGGTGAGTGGATTGCCTGAGCCTGCGGGTTCGAGACCCGCCTGGGCAGCGAGACCTCATCTCTACAATAAATCAAAAAATCAGCTGGGCATGGTAGCGTATGCCTGTAATTCCGGCTACTTGGAAGGCTGAGGCAGAAGGATTGCCAGAGCCCAGCAGGTCGAGGCTGCAGTGGCCGGAAGCGGCCACTGCACTCCAGTCTGGGCGACCGAGTGAGACTCCAACTCAAAAAAAGAAAAAAAGAAAAAGAAAAACATATATAGTTGGTCTGTGAATATTGTATTTTTCATCTCTAGATGGTTGAGTATGCAGATGCAGATTTTGTGGATACAGAGGGCCGACTGTAGACTGCTTGAAGGGACAGACTACTGATCAAACTTGGGAAATTTTTAGTCACTATTTCTTCAAATATTCTCTTTCTCTGGGTGTATATGTGTCTCTCTCTCTCTATTCCTTCAAACTTGAAATAAACCTCTGTAAGTTTTTTTATATTGTCCCTCAGATCCCTGGGAGATCTGTTCATCTTTTCTATTTTCCCTTCGTTCTTTAGATTGAGTAGTTTCTATTGATCTATCTTTAAATTCTATTGATCTTTCTGTCTTCCCCAATCTGCTGTCATAACATCCAACAAATTTTGTATTTCAGATACTGTATTTTTCAGTTCTAGAATTTGAACTTGTATCTTTTTTATACTTCTATTTCTCTGCCAAGATTTCCTATTTGTGCATTCACTGTGAGCGTCATTTCCTTTATATCCTTGAGCAGAGTAACGGTGGTTTTAAAACATTGTCTGAAATGCAACATCTGTGTCATCTTGGGTTCAGTCTTCATTAACTTCCTTTTCTCTTGAGAATGGTCATATCTTACTGTTATCTCATATATCTGGTACTTGTCTGTTTCCTCAGTAATCTAGTACTTTTGGATTGTATCCTGGGCATTGAAGGTGATATGTTTAGATACTCTGAATTCTGCTACAGTTTTTCAAAGGGTGTTGAACTTTTGTTTGGCAGGTGACTAGCTTGACTGGACCCGAACTATCTTCCCCATGGTAGGCAGCAGCTGGAACTCCTGCTCAGTGTTTTTAGCTTTAACTGGGCTACCTGGCATCTGTCCCACCAGGCATGATAAGCGGTCAGCCAGAGATGAAGGAAGATTTTATATGCAAAATTCAGGACTTTCCTTCTCTGGTTCTCTTTTTTTTTGAGTTGGAGTCTTACTCTGTCACCCAGACTGGAGTGCAGTGGCCGCTCCCGGCCACTGCAGCCTCGACCTGCTGGGCTCCGACGATCCTTCCACCTCAGCCTTTCAAGTAGCTGGAACTACAGGTGTGCGCTACCACACCTGGCTAATTTTTTGATTTATTGTAGAGATGAGGTCTCGCCAAGTTGGCCAGGCGGGTCTCGAACCCGCGGGCTCAGGCAATCCACTCACCTCAGCCTCCCAAGGCACGGGATTACAGGCTGAGCCACCGAGCCCGGCTCTCTGGTTCTCTTAATTCCTGGATGTCTCTTTTCCCTTTAAACTGCTATGGGTACCCCCAACCCTGTCCTCTGGTTCCTCAAGCCTGTAAAACTATAGGACTTCTACCCAAACTTCAGCTGCCTGCATGACACCAACTGGGTAAGTCTTCTAACTCAGTTGGTTCTTTTGGTAGTTCTCTGGCCAAATAGTTAATCACCACTGGCCACCACACCCTCTGATACAGCAGTCATGGGAAAGTTGTGTCCAAGCAAGGTGGACACTGTGGCTTCTTCAGATGCCCCCATAGGTATTTTCATACAGCACTGGTATCCAGCTGGGCTGACACCCTCAATGATGCCTTGAGAGTTCCTGCCGACTCTAGTCTGCATTGGACCATGGCCTCTTACTGCTGGGGGTCTTCTGGAATAACGGGCTTCCTGCTCGTGTGGGTTCCCATCTTGATGCTCAAAGCCCAGCTCCTTCCATGGCATCTCCTGGTTAATAGAAAGCTCACTCTTGTACCAAACAGTACATGTGCAAGTCCCATCCTCGGACCGTTCTCTCTCCGCTTTGCCTGTCAAGATGGGCTCAGAGTTCTCCAGGAGAAAGCAGATGCTAGTCTCTCTGTTCAGGGTAGTCCCCAGCTCCAGAGGACACAAATCAAGTCTCGGCAAGAACTCTGTCCTCAGGCTCCATTCCAGTACTCTAGGGTTGGGGGGGAATTCAAGGGGTTTCTAGGGCTCAGCGTCCCTCAGATGGGGTGTGAGATGGGTCTCATGTCTTGCAGATAGCCCCCGTCCCTGTTGGTAGTCTCTTGGGGCTTCCTTCAACCTCCTCATCATAGATAGACAGTAGAAATGCACTACAGAACCATGAAGTTCCTCCCAGGAATCACCTTCCAAATTTCTCATCTTCCCTTTTGCAGGCTGGATCTATCCATGGGTCCAGCATGGTGGCTGGGCTGGCTCTGCCATCTTTTAGCGAATTCTAAAAGAATGTGTCTTTTAGAGTTTTAGATGTCAACATTCATTTGTCCTTGGCGTTGGGGTCTTAGCTGAATTCTAAGATAAAACAAATGCCTCATGTGCTACCTGTCACACATTTGATGTACACTCATTAAGTACCCGCTGAGGGTCACACCCTGACTTGAGGGTTGGGATGTGGAGATGAAGAAGGCACATCTCTGTCCTCGAGGACATCCCTTAGTTGGGGGGATGAGGGGACCAGGACACCCACAGGAGCAATATTGCTAAGACGGGGAGTCTGCCCAGGGTCCTGTGGGGCACAAGAAGGAATGGTCTTGGTTTAACACCCTTCTGGGCCAGGGGAGGTTCACCAGGCAGAGGGAACGGACGAAAGGGCTATCCCTGAAACAGCTGAGGAATCTGCAGTTCGAAGTTATTTGTCACAGCTGGGCATAGAGTTTGGATTGGATACCAAAGAAGCAGGAAAAGTTTTAAGCTCGAGAGGACAGGGATCATGTTTGACTTCCAGAACGACCTCCCTGGCAATGACGGGGTGGGGTCAGCCTGAAGCGGGAGGCCAAACAGGGGCTGGTGCAGCAGTCCAGAGAGAGCCGATGAGTGATGGCCCGGGGGACAGGAGCCGAGAGGTGGGAAAACACCCCAGAAACAGATGGTCGGATGTGGCAGCTGATTGGTTTCAGGATGATGGGATGGAGGAGTCTACGGTGACCCCCAGGTGTGTTTTTCTTGAATGCTTGATGGTGGCACCTGCAGACTTCAGAAAGAGGAGGTGTGCTGAGCTGACCCTGACAGGCTCGTGAGAGCCGACTTACACATCTTTTCCCAACTCTGTGTTCAGTGATGTCATGCTGGCAGCTTGACACTGGCCTTGGTGGGAACGTTTACACCACAGAAATCAGCAGATGCTATGAATCTGGGCTTTTAATCCCAGGAAACTTGGTTGAGTATTAGGGGAAAGGTGCTGACCTCTGAATATGTGGGTTTGAGGCGCTAGTGAGACACTTTTATAGGATAATAGAGGCTTGAGTCCATGCGATAAGATCCAGGGGATCCCTCCCACCCCAACCCTACCACAAGGAGCAAAGAGGGGAGGCTTGGAAGCCTTTGGGAATGGGAACTGGTCAGGAGGTGAGGGGTTGAGGAGCCCTCCCATGAAGTCCCCACTTTTCTCCCTGCAGTGGAGGGGAGTGGCTCCATTCAGGGAGGGGCGGGGCCTTGAGGCAGAGGGGGTATGACTGTGAGGTGGGGAGAGGAGCAGATGGGCTTGGCGGCGGGGAGGGCTCCAGAGGAGACAGGGTGCCCCCCCAGCTGAGCCCCCCTGCTGGACGGGTGGGCAGGGGGAGTGAGGCTTGGAGCCTGGGAAGACATCGGCATTGGCACAGTCCTGAGAGGGCACCCCAGGGACCAGACCGACCCGGAGGTGCAGAAGGAGCGCATGCCCAGGTGCCCCTGTCGCCTCTCCTACCCCAGCCCCCAGCCCCCAGCCTGCCCTCCCAGTGGCCTGTGTCTTCCAGGGATGAGGTTTTCTGCCAGATCTGCAAGCAGCTCTCGGGAAACCCCAAAACAAGCAGCCGGGCCCGGGGTTGGATCCTGCTCAGCCTCTGCCTGGGCTGCTTCCCCCCCTCGGAGAGGTTCATGAAGGTGAGGAGGGCCCGGAGAGGCGAAAGGGGGAGGGGGTGGGGGCAGGAGCATGGGCCGGCCCTGGGCCGTGGAGCGGGTTCGGAAACCCGGGCCCACGGCCGGTCCTCTTGCCCCTGCAGGCTGGGTCGGGCGGCAGTGCCTTTACCTCTCTGGGCCTCCGTTTCCGTGCCTGTAAAGAGGACACTGCCTCTGGCTTCTTCCAGCCTCTGTCTGGGTCTGCAGGGCCATGCCCTTTGGCTCAGGCACATGGGCAGCTCTTCAAAAGTAAAACGAGTTGGTGGATGAGACACACCTGAGGAGACAAGGGTCCTGGGGTTGGCCTGCCAGGGACGGCCGCGGCGCTTTCTAGTTCTCAGCACTGAAGATGGAGGTGGTTGGCCAATGCTTCCATGTGTTAGAGCCCCAGGCTTCTGACTGTAAAAGTCATATGTGGAGATGGGAAAAGTCTAACACAAAAATAAAAGTCATCCCTACACCTCGAGGTTGCTTCCAGTGAGACCTTCGTGTGGCCTTTTGTGGTGTTAGAGGATTGCACTTGTGATCATACAGGAAGACTTCCTTGAGTGTCCCCTTGGGAATAGGGAACCCTAATCACCTTGGCCATCTGCCCTGGGCCTCGGGCAATGCCCAGCAGCAGGAAACCCTTCCAGTCCATATCTGGGTGGATACTGCAGGGTGGGAAGGAAGGCACTCTGAGAGACAAGAGGAATTTCAACACATTTTGTCAGGCGTGTTTTGGACTGACCCTCCTGCATGTTCCACTTCCTTATCTTCATGATGCCTCTCACGGTATTGACCTGCCAAGTGCCACCTCTAAGGCCTCACTGTCCCAGAGGGTATTGGACTTCCGGATGACGTTGAATGTGCATACTCCAATGGCTCATCCTGTAGATTCCACCGTGATCAATTGTGTCTGTCCACCTTTAGGACTCTTTTGAACTTTGGGGCCAAAGCATGCAGTTTGAAACTGCACGACCCCAAACATATTGCCAGACTGTTCCTCAGAAGTGTACCAACCCAGATTCCTTCTCGTGGGATGTGAGAGCCGCCCTCTCAGTGCCCCTTGGTTGACTAAATATGATCATTTTTGAAGTCTGTTTTCTCTGTCCCTGGAGACTGGCCTCCGTTCTGACTGCTCCTCTCCCCATCCCTTCTTCACCCGCCAGTATTTACTGAACTTCATCAGTCAAGGGCCGGCGGGCTATGGGCCCTTCTGTGCTGAGCGCCTGAGGCGTACCTGTGCCAATGGGGCACGCACAGAGCCCCCTACCTGGCTGGAGCTGCAGGTAGGGTCCGCAGGGATGGGAGGCGGGCTGTACAGGGTGGTGCAGGCCTTCAGGGCTCCCCCGGCCCAGCTCGTGATGTGCCGTCCCCCGCGACAGGACTTTTGTCTTCCGAGTTCCTCCACCTCCCCTGTGATACATGCCAGCAGTCCCTGTGCGTCCCTGGGCTTGACCTCCCGCGTGTGGCCCAGGCGTCTTAAGTGCGCCTCACCTCTGAATCCACATTCCTTTAGGGCCTTACTAGGTGAAGGGGAAAACCAATGTGACCCACTCATTAGTGTTAGGATGTGCTGACTGCTTCAAGTCATCCTTCCCAAGGACCTTTGCACTTTGTGCGGTCACACCAAGGTTTTGCACTTGGTGACAATACTGTTGGGAGCAGGTGCCACTCTAACCTACTTTGGCAGCTATGTCACCTGTGAGTTCTTGTGTCAGTCAGAACAGCCAGGGTGGAGGGGGCACCCTTGGGCCCCATTCTGTGCACCCACAGTGCCTGGCACAGGAGACTGGGGTTTACCTCTGCCCCTCCCATTTCTGTTTTCACCTCCCATGAGCTCTGGGCAGTAGGTGAACTGTGGTAGCTGTGCGTGTTCACACAGCATTGCACCTGGAGGAACAAGGAAGAGCTCAAAGTGTTCCCGAGTCCTGGACTCAGATTCCCAAGAACCCTTGGCTCTCTGTGAGCCTAAGTCACTGAACATCCCAAGCTCAAGGTTCTCACCTAAAGGCGGGACCATGACGGCCTGAGGCTGTTGCCCCAGGGCTGCTGAGAGGACCTGGACGCTGTGGCACTGGGGCCATCCTGTTGGCCTGCACTTTGTTCTCGATGCCATGGGCTGCTGACACTGGAGCTTCGGAAGGCCCAGCCCTCAAGAGTCCAGAGGGAGGGCAGGGAGGGTGGTGGGTTGGGGGAGAGGAATGCGGTGGATGGGGCCTCCTGTCCTCCCACCCACTGGTTTCAAGAGTTCAAAGCAAGCAGCTAAGCTCAGTGGCCTGAGTTCCCTCTGTCCCCAGGCTGTCAAGTCCAAGAAGCACATCCCGATCCAAGTCAACTTGGCGACTGGAGAGGGCCTGACTGTCACCGTCGACTCGGCCTCCACATCCCGGGAAGTCTGCCTGCACATTGCCCGCCAGCAGGGCCTCAGCGACCACCTGGGCTTCTCCCTCCAGGTGGCTGTGTACGACAAGGTACTGACCGGGCGCCCCTCCACCGCCTTCCTCCCAGACCTGAGCAGAGCACTCCAAAGCTTGAGCCCTCGCCCCTCACCAGCCCGGCCACTGCTGGCCCTCCCGGCTGCCAGACACATACAGGTGCACACACACAACACACATGTGTGTATATGCACACATCCCAGCAGGGCCTTACACCGGGCAGCCTGTCCTGCCCACACACTCACATGGTCAGCTCCGCAGCTGCACCCTGGCCAACAGTGCCATGTGCACACCTTGTCACCTCCCACCCGGCCGCCCATGCAGAGACACCAGGCCCTCACGCCAGCCTCTTACTCCAAACTCACTATCATGCAGGAGCTACAGACGCCCCTGCAGCAGCCACGGAGAGTCACACTGGTACAGCCCACCTGAAGCCCCCTCACCATCCAGCCAGGCTCCCTCCCTCCCACGCTCACATCCTCAGACTCAGACACTCACACCATCAGCCAACCCAGGCACACAGCCCGAGGCATGTGGACCCACTCCTGTCTCGGTCTCCTTTGGGAAGGGGTGGCAGGGAGGCATATGGGGCGCAGTGGACAGGCCATGACCCACGTAGAGAAGCCCTTCGGGTGTCCAAGTGGACTCAGCAGCATCCACACAGCCCACACTGACTCTGAGGGTCCCCGTCCTGTCCTCATCCCCCATGTGCATGCACTAAGGGTGGGCCTACTGAGGGGCGAGGACCGCGCCTGCCACTGATTCTCGCTGCCCCAGTTCTGGTCCCTGGGCAGCGGCCGTGATCACGTGATGGACGCCATTGCCCAGTGTGAGCAGCTGGCCCAGGAGAGGGGCGAGAGCCAGCGCCAGTCGCCCTGGCGCATCTACTTCCGGAAGGAGTTCTTCACGCCCTGGCATGACTCCCGGGAAGACCCCGTCAGCACCAGGCTCATTTACCGCCAGGTCCTCCGTGGAGTCTGGTCTGGCGAGTACAGCTTTGAGAAGGTGAGGCACCAAGAAGGAGCCATACTTCGCGTCAGGAAATGCCCATGGAGGAGGGACCCTGGCCTCTCTCTAGTTCGTGCAGAACAGAGGCCATGTGGGATGTGGAAGCCCTCCCGGCAGAGGGCAGAGTAGCAGGGACCAAGAAGGGGATCACAGGAGGGCTGGTCCCTTCCTCCAGCCTCTGCTTGCTCCTCCCTTGGGCTCAGGTTTGCCTTTGGGGTTCGGGGTCTGGTGACAGGCCGGGAAGGCCTCCCAGCCAGCACAGGTGTGCCTGGCCTTACCACAGCAGGCCTGATTATGAGCGGCAGGGCCCGGGGCTCAAGCATGTGGCCTCAGAGCCCTAGCACCCGGAGTTGGAGTCCCCCTTCCCCCTCTCCTGGCAGTGTGACCTTGGAAAGCTCAGTCACTCCTCTGAGCCTGGGTCCTCACCGGGAGCGTTTGGCGAGCACCGAGAGCTCTTGTGCAGGATAGCTGGGAGAACTGAGGGCGATCGTGCCTCTTAATCATCTGACTCTGGAAGCTCTGGGGGCAGCGGGTGCCGACCTCCCTGTGCTGACTCAGGATGCCACCCTGGCCAGGGCCCTGGAGAGGCGGGTGCAGCAGCCCTGGAGGCCTGCCTGGAGCAGGCATGGGCAGGGAGCTGCAGGAGCACTGGTATCTGCAAGGCTTTAGTCTCCCAGAAACGATGAGCTGCTTGGGTCCCCGCCTTGTACCGGGTGTGCTCCTGCCCAGCTGAGTCCTTGCAGAGGGGCCACTGTCTCTTGATAAAAGAGGACCAGAGCTCAGAAGGAAAGGCCTTGCCCACCTTCACCGTCCAGGGGCTCAGGAGCACCCTTGTTCCAGGCAGAGGGCCTGCGGGGCTCAGGCCAAGGCCACCTGGACTCCCAGCAGTAACAGGAGGTGCCTGTGTTGGGGCCCAGCCAGGGCACGTGTGGTTTTGCTGGGGAGGGGGCAGGTACTGTCCAGTGGAGACGGCGGGACAGGGTGGCTACTCACGCTTCCAGCTCCTGCCTGAGCCACCGTTCAGCTGCACTGTGCTGGGCCAGAGCTGGGCACTGGACAGGACATCCTGGGGGAGTGTGGGCTCTCACTTATCTCCCCTTGTCCCCTCCTGTGCCTGCAGGAGGAAGAGCTGGTGGAGCTGCTGGCCCGGCACTGCTACGTGCAGCTGGGTGCCTCGGTGGGGAGTCAGGCTGTCCAGGAGCTGCTCCCCAGCTGCATCCCCTCCAAACTGTACAGGGCCAAGCCCCCAGAGAGGTGGGCTAGCCTCGTCACGGCTGCCCATGCCAAGGTCAGCATGCAGCCTGGAGACCCAGCCCGGAGTTCTGTTTGGGGTGATGGGGGCCATCAGTTCCAGAGAGATGGGTTCCCTCCCTACAAGCTCACCCATCAGGGAACAGGAAGCTTAGACTTGACAGGCAGAGCCCTGTCTCTTCAGTTTTAGACAGTTCTGCTCAGTTCAGCTCCCTGTCACAGGCCTGTGCCACCTTACTCCTTCCAAGGTGGCATCTGGAACGGGTCACCGTGCTGGTCCTGCACTGCAGCATCTGGAGGGGCCTGGGCCTCTTGGCACAAAAGGGCACCCACAGTGGCTGGCTGCTGATCACGCCAGGGTCACGGTGTCAGTCCTGCCCATGAGGACTCCCCTCCCAGGGCCCAGGCCTCTTGGTGTCCTCTCGCTGGGCACTTGGGAACTCCCGGGTGAGAGGAGTTTGCCAAGTCACCCTTCAGATTGGTGGCACTGATCTATAATCCCAAGGCCAAGTGTATGAACACGACCAGACCCTCTGTAAAGTAGGAGCAAGGGAAATAACATTTGAGTCAACAAACAGTGAGAAGAAAGTCTGGCTGGACATGATAGCCAGTTACAGACACAGAGCAGTGGAGCCAGAAGGGGCAAAGGTGTGAAGGTGTGGTCAGCGGTCAGCCACTGTGGACGCCCTTTCATACTGAGAGGCCCAGGCCCATCCAGACAGTGCAGTGCAGACATCAGCACGGAGGGAGGGCAAAAGGACACTCGAGCTGTGAGATGGTTGATGTGGCGGTGCCTGAGACAGGGCCCCAGACTCGCAGAAGAACTCCAGAGCGGACACCAAGAGACAGCCAGGGCACGGAGTCACAGCGAGGTGGCTCCCCCCAGGAGCCAGACCCAGGCCTGAGGGCGGGCACAATGCCAAGCCGCACACCACAGCCACATGCTGCAGCCCTGCCCCACGGGCCCTAGGGAGGAGGAGCCCTTCCGCCTCCTCCCAGCCACCTCCTGCGAGGTCTTCTCTCCCCAGGGTAGAGGAGGGCTGTGCCAATCCCCAGAATGTCCCTGCAGAGTCCCTCCCGAGACCCTGGCCTCACTCTAGCCGAGGCTTCCCAGAATGACCCCAGCTCATCCCCTTGACCCTGGGCGAGGGACCAGCTAGGGGAGGGAGTGGGACGGAGCTGATGCCCGGGGACCCCCACAGGCCTCATACACCCAGACGCAAGCCACGCTGCTGACCGTGCAGGAGCAGGTGGTGGACACCGCCCACCTGCAGTGGCCGCTGCTCTTTTCCCGGCTCTTTGAAGTCACCCCGCTCTCGGGTAATGGCGTCTGCCAAGGGATGGGGCGGGCGGGGGCTGGGTGCCCCAGGGATCCACAAAGCCCTTATTCTGCTGTCTCCGCCGGCCAGGCTCCCGGCTGCCCAAGACGCAGCTGATCTTGGCTGTTAACTGGAAGGGGCTGTGCTTCCTGGACCAGCGGGAGAAGATGCTGCTAGAACTCTCTTTCCCAGAGGTCATGCGTCTGTCCACCAACAGGTGGGGACCTCGAGGGAAGATCTCACAACCTGAGTCCTTGGGGCTTGATGCCCGCGAGGGCCTGGGGGGAGACGGGAGGGGCGGCATGTTGTCCCGGGAGCCGAGCTGGGCTGGAGCAACAGGGGTAGTGTGTGCAGTGGCCATGGACTCAGCCGCCCCCTCCCACGCCTGGTTGCACGGCCTGTTGAGCGCGCCAGGGCACCCAGAGCACCAGCCGGCGTTTTCCCGCCACCTGCAGTGGTGCCTGGCCCGGCCCTGACCACGCTGCCTGTGCCCTGGTCTGTGCCTCAGGACAAGCCCTCCTGAGGCCGTCGAGGGATGAGGCGGGAGGAGGCAGAGGGGGCGCCTGTTCATGCTGGCCTTTGTCCCCAGGGAGGCCCAGGGCGGACAGAGGCTGCTGCTGTCCACCCTGCACGAGGAGTATGAGTTCCTGTCCCCCAGCAGCATGGCCGTGGCTGAGCTGGTGGCCCTGTTCTTGGAGGGCCTGAAGGAGAGGTCCGTGTTCGCCATGGCCCTGCAGGACAGGAAGGCCACAGGTGCCCGGCTGGGGGGGGGGGGGGGGGGG